CACGGGGCTGCCACAGCCCCACCTCCCCAGCCTGTCCAGGTCCCTCTGGATGGCATCCCTTCCCTCCAGCGTGTTGACCACATCACACAGCTTGGTGTCATCAGCAAACTTGCTGAGGGTGCACTCAATGCCATCATCCATGTCACTATGAAGATGTTAAACAGTATCGGTCCCAACACCAACCCCTGAGGAACGCCGCTCCTTACTGGTCTCCACTCAGACATTGAGCCATTGACCACCACTCTCTGAGTGCGACCATCCAGCCAGTTCATAAGGCCACTAAGTGATCCATCCATCAAATCCATGCCTCTCCAATTTAGAGACAAGGATGTTGTGTGGGTCAGTGTCAAACACTTTGCACAAATCCAAGTAGATGACATTGATTGCTCTTTCCTTATTTTGGTTAAAGAATTCTATTCACGGTTGTGACCGTGTCATAGAAGGCCACCAAATTTGTTTAGGCACAATTTCCCTTGCTGAAGCTGTGTTGGCTATCACCAATTACCTCCTCAATTTCCATGTACCTTAGCATAGTTTCCAGGAGGATCTGCTCCATGATCTTACCAGGCACAGAGGTGAGACTGACTGGCCTGTAGTTCCCTGGATCCTCCTTTTTAAAGATGGGGGTTATGTTTCCCCTTTTCCAATCAGTGGGAACTTGACCAGACCACCACAACTTCTCAAATATGATGGATAGAGGTTTCGCAACCTCATCCACCAGTTCCTCCAGGACCCGCAGATGTACTTCATCAAGTCCCGTGGACCTGTGCACCTCCCAGATCTGATCCTCTCTAACCACAGGCGGCTCTCCATTCTTCTAGTCCCTGCCCTTGCCTTCCGCAACTAGTAGGTTATGGCTTGCCCCCTTGCCAGTGAAGACCGAGGCAAAATAATCATTAAGCATCTCTGCCTTCTCCACATCCTGGGAAACCAGCTCTCCCGTCTCCTTCCAGAGAGGACCCACATTTTCTTTGATCTTCCTTTTATCTCCTATGTACCTACAGAAGCCCTTCTTGTTGCCCTTTATATACCTGGCCAGGTTTAATTCTGCCAGGATTTTAGGTTTCTTAACCTGATCTCTGACCTCCTGGACAACTTTTCTGTAATCCTCCCAGGCCACCTGTCCCTGCTTCCAGTCACTGTAGGCTGCTTTTTTTTGCCTCACTTTGTCCAGGAGCTGCTTGTTCATCCACACTGGCCTCCTGGCACTTTTACCTGACTTCCTCTTCACTGGGATGCATCCTGAGCTTGGAGGAGAAGGTCCTTGAATACTTCCCAGCTTTCTTGGGCTCCTCTTCCCTGAAGGGCTTCATCCCATGGAACCTTGACAATCAGTTCCCTGAAGAGGCCAGAGTGTGCTCTCCTGAAGTCCAGGGTAGTGAGCCTCCCACTGGCACAGGACCTGATCTTGCCCTTCAGAATATCTTTGCACAAATACAGATGGTATGTACTCAAGATATTAAAACCATATTAGCTTTCTATTAAAGATAATTAGAATTATACATTGACTATTTATGATTTGCTTTAAAGAAGCACTTAAGGAGACTTCAACCAAGTTTTCAGATCCCTAATATGATAAATATGTAACGATACGCCCATGAATTTTCTCTGGATATTTTATTGATAAGGGACCTGCTAAGAGTGACTGTGTATCATCCAAATTCTATTATCCAGTAGATATCTAAATTTAAAATGTGATTTGGAACCACATATGCCTGTGACAGTCTCATTCATGCTCATGCAATATTCTCCAAAGTCTCCATTACATGATCTGGAATGTCCTTGAATGCAAGAGATGGAAGGTCACCTTCAGGAAGCATTTCTTGCTAACGTGAATTAAGCCAATTACAACACGAGAGTAAGAAATTATCCTACAGACACAAAGTAGAGGCAAGATTCGTCTTCTTGATATCTTTAACAAATATCCATCTTAAAAAAACAGACAATATATCTCAACATTACTGTTAATCTACCAAATCAACTTTGAATAACGTAGATGTGTTACAGTAACTAATAAGTAAACATATGGGTTAGAAATAAATATATGGGATATTTGAGTTAGGAGGCGAGATGGTACTGGAAATACGGTAACCAAAATGCTAAAAACGAAGGTGTTTTTTCTGAACATGGGACGCAGAGATCTGCTGTGAAAATCAAAAGATGTGGCCAAAATTGGGAGTTTATGGAAAAAGAGCTGTGCTGCCTTCCAGTACTTGTTCAAAAAAAAAGTAGATTACATTTACCTCAGGATAGGAAAAAGCAATGGATATCTGGATCTATGTTCCAGTAGGAAAAAATAAATCAATAATAATAGAAGTTAGATATAAAAAACTATTATGTTCTCTGCAGGCAGGCAAGAAACCCATTAAAGTGAATTTGAGGCCTTTTGTTTTCTGTAGAATGCTTTTTACTGAAAAGCAAGTAACTTCAGCGTCTCCCATTTAAGCTCACGGTCCAACAGTTCACAGGGATTCGAAGGTGTACACTGTACTCAACAGCACTAATTGGAAATCAAAGGTAAAAAGTTCTGCAGAACATTCTGTTAAGTCATGACTTTGGTACAGATTGCACAAGATAGTCAATCCCAGCCTAAATCAGGAGGTTTGGGGGGTTTGTTTGGTTTATTTATCTTGTCAAAGCAAGTTTATTTTCCAAATCCAAAGTGTTGTTACAGGATAATTTTATGAGCCAGTGAGAGAAGACAGAAGGCCTAGAACCAAGACTATTCCACAACTCAGTACCATAGTACTCAGTAACAGTAAGTTACCACAGTACTCAGTAACTCACAACTCAGTAACATAGTACTTTGTTTTGCTAACAAAAATTAGCACAATAAATCTATCTTCAAAAGTCTGTGCACAAGACTAACTTCTGAAATGACTCATTTGTTTTGAAAGGCATGCTGAATTGTTATACTACTGATCACTGTGACATGAGATGATGCTCTCAAAAACAATTAGCAATTTTCAGTGCCATATGGTCCAACTGCCCAATTTTTAAGGTCTCAGTTGTGAAGCTTCCATTGACTTGCCCTCATTCCTCTTTTCTGCAGTGAAAGCTGTTGCACTCTTAGGTGATTCTTAAAGAGAGAAGGGAATGGAAGCGAGTCCTTAACAGTAAAACAGGCAGGATAACAAATAACACAAAAAATAACTTATAGAAGACAAGGAATTTATATCTGATTCAGCCAGCCA